GGAATCATAAAATAACTAGCAAAACAAATAAAAAGGAAGTTTGCGTTTGACCCGGACCCCTGGTGCTAAACTTCAATGGGCACAGAGAACATCTGCTGGAGTCATCCCCAAGAATGCTTCGACCTGAGTGCTACAATGATTTGTTTTAAAATACATATATATATCCTAAATCAAAATGCTGTCTTCATGAAGTCGTTCAAAAAACATTAAGAGGGTAGGGGGCAGGGAAGACTCTCTCCCGAGAACAGACGCGATACTACACAGCGGCAGCGAAGGCTGCCCGGGGCCAGGCGGCAAGAGGAGGGGCCATGGTCAGTCCCCGACTGTCCTGTGCACACAGACGTAGGCGCAGGCGGGAGAGAAACGGAACCAGAGCTTTGCACAGAGAACACACACAGACACACACACGCAGACACCCGTAACTTTCCCCGAGGATACGTCTTGGAGCTAAATATCTTTTTACTTCTGCATATGACCCTACAGGGTGTTTCCTCAAAAGCCCAATAAAAAAAAATTCATGCACGTTACAATGGACAGATAAAGCACAAGGTGTAAACTTCAACCAGAGATGTTTACCATTTCAACAGGGGCAGGGGAAGTCATCAAATTGTGGCATTTCCAGTGCAGTAACTAAGGCAGAGCCAGCTCTGCAAGGGTGTGAGGCTGGCACGAACCCGGCCCTGAGATGACGGCATCCGTCCAGTCGGGAACGGGACCACGGACAGGAGGAAGGAGAGCCCACAGCCACAGGGGCCTTCATGGCTTCCCTTGGCATAGGTGACTCCACACTGGAGGGGCAGAGAAGCCCCAAGTAGAGCTCTACAGCCCTCTCCCCGCTCCACCCTTCTTTGACGCTTTTAACTTGAAGAGAGCAGTTGCTCTGGGTCCCGCATCCTATTCGTATGCAGTTTCAACAAAGCAGGCCATGGAATCTCCCTTCCCTAGACATTTTAAAGAAAAAGACAGACAAATATTTGCCTGGAACTCCTAGGAAACCTCTTAAGATCCCTTCCAGCCCTATGATGTTATAACTCAAGTATTTAATAATGCTGGGGTGTATAACATCTCCAGTTGCTGACAGACCTCAGGAAGTGCGAGTCCCCCAGGCCGCAGAGCATTTGACTCAGGAAAGTAAATGGGCAGGTGTGTGGGGCCAGCCCTGCAAGTTCACTCCTGGGTCTGCCGTTCTCCGACCCCAGACGTTCGCTCGGACCTGAGGTGCGTCACCTGATGCAAAGGAACCCCGGTTTTCCCACCTGTAATATCAAAATTCTTCCTCCTACCTACTTCAGGAATTATCTCGGGGATTTATTTGAAATCAACAAAGGAATAAGATTGATTTCATGCATTTTTCAGAGCCAGGAGGATTTGTAATTCCTCCCTGCATTTGCAAAACCGCGAACGAACGGGAGGGAACCTGAGAGGTGATCTAACACAGAGGCCCCCTTTGGGGGGTGGAGCCCGCAGCCCTGCGGCCGCAGGAACCTTGCTCACGTTTTATATGTAGTCCCCGATTTCAGCTTGAAGCGGGACAAAGCCATTATTCCTTGTGTTCCTGTGATTAAGGTTAACACATTCTTCAAAAGCCTAAACACCGCAAAAACAGGGAGCTCTGGCTGCCCAGGAAGAAGCAGGCATTTGATCAGGACATCGCAGTCTGGAGCCAGGGGGAAGTGATGTGTGTCACTGTGATGTCTAGATTCTCTGGGTTCTTCAGCAGGCCAAAGGGTCCAGATATGTATCCTAGGGGTCAGGAGGTTGACTATTTTCCTTCATCTTTTGGCTGTCACTAAGGAGTGGACATTTCCTTCATTGTCAGGCCACCGGCGCAGTGGCCACAAAATGCCTTGCAAGCGTCTACATGCAACGTTCGGTTCAGAGAGGAATGGACTGAACTTGGCCTAACTGCAGGGGGTTGTTTGCGACCAAGCATGGAGTCGCTGCAGCCCAAACCCGGCTCGTGCTCTCAGCAATTCATCTCACAGAGGTAGCCCTGGGCCGCACCCTGTCCTGATTACACAGAGGGCAGCTGCTGTAAATCACTGCTTCTCCCTGACCTTAAACGCCTGAGCAGAGTGTGCCCTGGTGCCTCTGGAAGGAGGGTGGGGCCAGGAAAGGGCTGGAGAGAATGGATGTCCAGAGCGCGGCTGCTCTTCAGCAGGGACACCGAGAAAAGCACACGCAGCAGATGCAGGAGTTGAGGGATCAGGGACCTATCTGTCAGGAGTGGCACCTCGCCTGGATGACAGAGCAGCCCAGCCACCCCCACAGCTGGCCAAAGGAAACCCAACCGGCAGGACGGGGCCTCCCAATTGCACAAGATCAAAACCACAGCGAAATCCAAACAGGCCTGTGGTTTCATCTAAGCGGCAACCTCAAAGGGGTGGCAGAGGTCTTGGGGATGGGCTGGGGGTCAGGCCCAGGCTCTCGTGCCCAGCTGCCGTCGCTGTCAACAGGACAGGACAGCTGGCCACGCACGCCGCTGACCTGCGCGATGGCGTAATCCGAGTTGTTGGTGGCCTGCATGCCCTCGTTCCCGCTGATTCCCACACCCACGTGGGCCGTCTGGATCATCCCCACGTCGTTGGCGCCGTCCCCGATGGCGAGGGTGATGGCCTTCACCCGCTTCTTCACCACGTCCACTATCTCAGACTTCTGCAGAGGAGACACTCTGCGGGAGAAGAAAGAGAAGCCGTGACCGTGTGCGCCTTTCCAGAGGAAACAGCTGTAATCTGCATTCGGCGGCGTGGAAAGGACAGTTATTGGACAACCTCCAAATTCAATACATACGTTTTATGCTCATGTGCAAAGAAGCTTTCAGAAAACAGTAGCTTGTGGCTTTCAAGTATTTGCCAACTTTGCAGATGGAATACACAACTCAAAACTAACTTAAAGCACAGCCTATGGGGAATCGTCCTGCTCGGTGGGGAGCTACGCACGGACTCTCAGGAGCACACGCGCCCTGCTGCAGGAGCAGGGCCGTTACACTCTGTCACAGAGGCCTTTGGAAATGCTTTCCCAATAAATCAGAAAACCAGCACAGGCCCCCTTTTTGCTTTTCGGTACATCATATACAACCTAGGGCTGGCAAGGGAACTTTTTATAAAATCTGTTTTTACGGAAGGGAAAGAAAACTGGCAGGGCACAAGAAAATGTAGGAAGAGTGGAGGCCGAGGTGGGAGGATTGCTTGAGGCCAGAATGTCAAGACCAGCCTGGGTAACATAGCAAGACCCCCATCTCTACAAAAAATAGAAAAATTGGCTGGGTGTAGTGGTGTGAGCCTGTAGTCCCAGCTACTCAGGAGGCTGAGGCAGGAGGATCACTTGAGCCTAGGAGCTTGAGGCTGCAGTGAACTATGCTGATGGCACTGCACTCCAGCCTGGGCAAGAGAGTGAGACCCTGTTTCAAAAAAAAAGAACAAACAATACAAATTCACTAATAAAGCCATCACTTAATCTTTAACTCTTCTTCACGCAGGAAGATATCACAAGACAGCACGGAACAGACACCTAAGCAGCACTGGACCGGCTAGCGGCTGCAACTCCTTGAGAGTCTACATGCCACCCAGGTGATCAAGCACGGTGGCCTCTTTGTCAGCAAATCTGAGGTGGTCTGGAGAGAAAGGAAGTCCCTGGGGCAGAAAACTTGGCCCCTTTGCACTGCAGAGAGTTGGAACAATCTTGGAGTGAACAGGGAAGGAGCTAAACAGATCCGAGATTTTCTCTGAGGTTAAACTGTTAGATTTTTGTTAGGGTGTTTAGCAATAAACCAACCAGCGGGTAACAGAGCAAGTCAGACAGAGTCACAAGATCCGCCACTCTGGGATTCGGATCTCAAGTAAGTCAAGTGAGGATCCTGATGGCTTAAAGTCCAGCCTATGAACATCCAACAGCTGCCTTTCCCAAGAGCAAAGATAAGAAAACCTGACCAGGGCACACAAGGCAAATCATACCCCAGTTATGTCCTAAAACAGGAACATGAAATTCTCATCAAGGATTTATTATGCCCTCAGCTGTAATGCCTTGAGAAAACATAATTCTAGCACACACTAGGGGTTCAAAACAGATGTCAAACAGCTAATTTCTACAGAACTGAAGAGGCACCATTCCCCTTCAGCCATATGCAGTATTCCAGCATGACTAGTTGCCAGGAAGCACAGACCAGCTCTTTCTTCATCTGAATGTGTGCCCTGGAATCACATGCCACACTTAATAAGTATCCTCCACATATAATAACTCAGCCCGTAAAGTGAGAACTCCAGAGCACACCTGAGCCAACCTAGCTGCTTGGGACACTTCTATAACCTATTTTGGTGCATTATAAATAAAAATATAAACCCAATGAGTTCAGTCAACTGGAGAGGTAGTCCATCCACATTATTTGGCTAACACAAAATGAGCAAACTCTAAAATGAGCAACAAGTTTTCCTTTTGACACTTAAATAAAAAACATCATCATCCTGGAGTATCCCATTTTACGGGATATGTGCTCCTGAAATTTTAAAACTAGCTTTCTAAAGTTATTTCAAATATGACACTTAAGTAAAACCTTGGGTGATTGCTTTCATAGAATTAATGATCACACTTTAATTTACGTGATCTAGAAAAGCCCTGGTCTCAGAGTGAGTTTCTAAATCCTGTCCTTGCAACGTGGTCTGAGCAGACCGAAGCGAATCCCCTCCTTAGCTTCTTGCTGTCAGCTGCCCCACCAGCCACAGAGAGGCCGGATCTAGATCACAGGTTTCTGCGCCGAGTTCAGTGGAGCCAGAGGAGTTACAACAAACTCTACCCAGGAAGACCCAAGAGACCCAAAACACTCACTAATTAACCAGACTCATGAAATGCTTTCACTAATTGAACTTCAAAACATCTTTATTGCCTATAGACAGTCCTCATGACTAAAAGGAAGTTTGGAGACCACTGGCCTAGATCAGTGAATCTCAAATTTTAAGCAAGCATCAGAATCACGCAGAGAGTTTGCAGACACAGACTCTGACCTCACTCTGGGGTGAGGCCTGTGAATGTGTGTTTCTAACCAGCTCCCAGGGGACGCCGATGCTGTCTGTCTCTGAACCACACTCAAACCACCAGCACTGGCCAGACAATAGCACAGGTTCTTTCTAGCACAACTGTTTCCTAGCCAAGCTTAAATTTCCACAGCACAAGACATAAGCAAAATTTTCATAGGGATATTTAACAATTTATTACCAGAAACATGTAATCTCACTCCCTTTTTTTCAAAGTTTGCAAACATAGGTTCTTCTTCTTTGCTTTCAAACCAAAACCAAGTAAGTATAAATTTTGGTTGGGTATTTCATTTAAAATATTCTTCCAGTCTGAGTGTCTCATACAAGACAGTGGTAGGTGAAAATACTAACCAGAAGTAAGACATACTGGACTTTGTGAGTTTTTTGTTAATGACACAGAAACCAATCAATACCAAGCGTAAAATACACAATAATTAACTATAAAACAAAGTGCTACAAATATATCAGAAGATTTCATTTAGAAAAGTATCTATTTTTCCTGTTAAATATCCTATGAATGAGATTTTCTTTGATAAAAAATAACCATTGAAATAAAATATCACACTTTTTTTCCTATAGTAGTCATTAATCCTAAATTTTTCAAAACTTGCAGTATCTTTAAAAATCTCCTAGCTTAAGCAGATATACAAACACCTAATATGAGTCTACTATCTAAAGTTAATTAAACTATCCCACATGTATCTGTTTATTAAAAGCTCACAGATGGCAAGAATGAAAGGAGTACAAAAATGACTGACACCTCTATGAGATCCAAATTTATCTTGATGAAAAACAGATAAAAAGAATCCGTTTTTCCTGTGGTCTAGACGGACATTGTTTGCAAACTTCTCGACCAACATGCCCGTGGTCTTGATTTCGTTTTCTACTAATATCCTTAAAAATACTCTAGGCTTTTTCCGACAGCTTTTAATGACATATGGCTGGAAACAACAATCTCTGGCTTCACAAACGGCTCCCCTGGGACAGGCTAACAGCTAAGCCTAGCCTTTTTTTCCCTTGCCTCTCAACATCAGAACACTGTGACTATTACAAGCCCACTGTTAGCCCCCATATATCACTCAAATGAGCACTTGAGGGTTTAACAGATACCAGCTTACCAAGTCTTTATGAAGGGTCCCAGGAGTGCTATGTGATCGAGTCATCCAAGGTCTTTATATTTATGCACCTCACTATGTATTTTTTTTTAAGATGGAGTCTCACTATGTTGTTCAGTCTGGTCTCGAACTCCCAGCCTCAAGCAATCCTCCCACCTGGGCCTCCCAAGTAGCTGAGGCTACATGTGCGTGCCACTGCACCTGGCTTACCTCACCATATATTTATTCTTTGTACAATGATTTACGCCTAGAATCAAATTCTATCACAATCTTGCATACCTCAGTATTATGTTTGCACTACTACTAACTACTCAGCAGTGTCCAGTAGAATAAGCATTTAACTTCCCGACTAAATAAAATGATGAACCTATATCTCATTAAGTGATAAAAATGTGCATGAAATCACTATGAACCCTGATGCTACCCGGCCACCCGTGTGAAATACAAGTCAAGATGCTTCACGATTTGCAGAGCATCTGATGTAAGAGCCTAGATGTACGGACGGCATTACTTATTTTGATGTGGCTGAAACAGATGTGTTCTGATAAATCCCCTGTATTCCACCAGTATCAGCCATGAAGTCCTTTCCCTGAGGTTACACTGCAGGTTGAACAGGTGCTAAGGCCACACCAACAGGAGTCTGTGCAAAGGAGACAGGAGAGGCAGTCAGCTGTGCAAGCATCCTGATTTTATCTTGGTGCTGCAATTTTATGGTAATTTCAGGAATTTAATGTATATATTTGAGTCTATATTAAATTGTAGAAAGCTTGAAATTCCCATAGCATCCTCTAAGTACAAAGATTATTTTCAACAGGGTACAAGTATCCATTTTTCAAAATACTAAGGTTAAATGTTTCCATATTCTGGAATAGACTCTAACT